TGTCTTTAGCATCTCCTTTCCATTTACTGTTCAACCTCAATTCAATGTGAGAATTTGCTGCTTCTCTCTCTCATGCGTATCTTTGGGTTTTCGACGGAATCTGAAGAGGTCACCTTGAGCATTCAGAAACTGTGCCAGCACATTGTGACACGTCGTGGACAAATCAATTAATGGAGTAACTGAGAAGGTAATCAGCAGATGAAATGATAAAGAAAATGGCAGTTAGCTGAAGCTGACTGGGATGGACTAGAAAACCTAAACCAGTTTCATAAACCTGCTGAATGTTTTTACTGTTGTTCAGAAATTAATGGGGACAGAGTCTGAAAATGGTCAGCAAACACAAGTTGCAAACACGTTGGTGTGTCCGTCATTTAACTGCAAGACTGACACTGCTCTCCTCCAAAGAATCGCTTTGGTCACATTCAAAACAAGAGAAAACCACTTGCTGCAAACAGGCGTCCAACCACCGAGGGACGGACCACACGGTGTTCATCACACTTCGAACTCATGCAAACACAATCTGGTTACTTTGAAAGGAAGAGTGTCCACCACACCCCTGGATTCAGGCTTCACGCAGTAATACACAGATGTTGGGTTTGAAAGGAAGAAACTTAAAACAATGAATGTAAAACATGTCCTCCGGCCCATCACTTGCAGTAATCTGTTTTTTGCGTGTGTAAACATAGAAATAAAAGTTTAGCAGCATCTTATTTCCCACAGTTCTACCCAGACTGCTTCCTCCTCCAGTGCTCTGGACCTGTGGTTTGGTTCCGTTTTCTGGCTTGTGGACGAGACCAGCGGCTCACATACATCACGTCTTCCTCATTCATTCCCACCTGTAGAGCTTCAGCATCTTCTCCGTAAGCGTCGCCAGATAGTGCTCACCGTTCACAGAGAAGGGACTGATGTCCAGCACTGGGAGGTCAGCTGGAAGCTTCTGGAGCAGAGAGCCACTGCCGGCGTCCCACACCTGAGGAGGAGGACAAAAAACAAACACAATACATGAGGAAGAGTGAGAGGGAGGGGAGGTGAAGAAGGTGAGAAACACTCTTTCAAATGGAAACTATTTCCATTTCCCTTGGTCTGATAAGTATATCAACTCATTTTTTAGCATGAAGCCTGGTTTTGATCCCCTCCCATTTTTCTTGTTCAACTTACAGCATTACACTGTCACTGTACTCTGGTTCAGATTAAAAGCCCTCTAGCATTTTAGTGAACAGAAGCCCTTTGTTTCTTAATAGGGGTTTTATTGTCAGCATTTGCAGGCACACCATATATAGCAACAGCTGGATTAAAGAACAGAAAGGCATAGTGGATCAAAATAATGCATCTAATGCTACCATTTGTAATTTTACACTCTAAAGAGCTGTCAAAACTTTTAACGACCTGCTAACAGAAACCCTACGCACCAGGACTTTATCCACCCTGGTTTTTATAACTGCCTGCATTTACAACCCCAGACATTATTGCAAACCCAGCTTTAAACTGAGTAAAGGTTTTTATGTCCCAACGTACATGAAGAGTAAAAGAGAAAAAAGGCAGTTTTGGCACTTTAAGAGGACAAAAATATATCAATGAATAACTAAGTGTAATGCAAAATAGTATAAATATAAGTAAAAATAGAAAATAGAAAAAAAAAAATCATCTATCCCAGTTAAATTTAAAAGACATTACATGAAAACTTTGGGCTTTAAATAAAAACACATCTAACAAAACAATAATAATTTAATAATTTTGAACATTTATGAGATACTTTGGCTTTAGGCTACACAAAATCCTGTAGTAATTTTTAAGCACTAGTAGGCAACAGAAGTCAACAAAATACTACCCCCAAATAAGAGCTGGAGCTGAACATTAGTTGGAAAGTTTACATCCACTTGTAAAGACCTTGCACATCATGACAGCTTTGAGTACCCAGTGACTCCTACAACTGAGAATGTTCTATGATGGAATGATTGAAAACACAGGGGTCTATGTCACAAAAACAAACAAAGAAACAATCATGTATTTTGGTTCTTTCATAAATGATTATAGGTCTTGCAACATCTGCTGCAGATACACAAACAGCAACCAGAAATATTTGTTTTGGTGATGTAGAGAATTTTAACAATCAGATTTTCTTAGTTTCATGGCCTCTTAACTTGTGAGAGATTCTGATTGCCTACAGCTGCTGACTGTTCTGATCCAGTCTAAATAGAACCATCTGATCCACTCATTAGACTCAGACACAAACACCACAGTGAGAAAGTCTGAGGAGCTCCACAAAGATCTGGAAAAGAAAATCATTGGCTAGAACAAGTCAGAAAGTCACTCAAAGCCATTTTAAAGATGCTTCAGACCTGAAAGTCATCTGTGCAAACAACTGTTTAGAGTATAAAGTTGTATATGTATGTTATGAAGTAAAACACGTGAAAAAATGTTTTCAAGAGGGCTGGGGCAATACCGATTTCTGCGTTGTTTTCTTTGCACCAATCTGTGGAGCAATGTTTGAAGTGCCATAACTTGAGAAATAATGTAGCTGGAGTCCTGGGGCCTCATGTATCATCAGTGGGTACGCACAGATATGCGCGTAGAGCAGGGGTGTCCAATCCTGTTCCTCTAGGGCCACAATCCTGCATGTTTTAGATGTTTCCCTCTTCCAACACACCTGATTCAAATGATCAGGATCGCGATCAAGCTTCTATCGCTCCTACTCTCCAATGTCCGCTCCCTTGACAACAAGCTGGACGAGCTGCGTTTGCTGGGAGAAGCCCGCAGAGACTGGAAAGACTGTTGTGTGTTTGCTTTAACAGAAACATGGCTCCATGACAACATCCCAGACGGACATACAGCTGGAGGAGATGACATCGTTACGGGCAAACAGCGAGCTCTGAACTTTTCCAGAGCCGCTGCAGGAGCAGGACACTTAACATTGTCAGGGACTCCTCACACCCTCTCCATAAACTGTTTGAACTGCTGCCATCAGGCAAACCTTTCTGGAGCACTGAAGGAAGAACCTCCAGACTGATCATTATTTTAGCGACGTTCATTGCCCTGAAGTTCAGCAAAGTCTTTCGGCTGTAAGTTTTGCGGAATGAACGTCTGGGATAGACAACACACTCAAAACTTTCACTGTCGCTGTCTCCTGGAGGAGCCACTGCGTCTTATCACCACCATCTCTATGGAAACCCATAGAGATTCATTATGTATATTCAGAGTTTCAATATACACACACACATATATCAGTGTTTCCTCTACATTTATTTAGGAGCGGCGGGCCGCCATTCCTAAATCCTAGCTGCCGCTCCTACAAATGTCTTCTTCTTCTTTTTTTTTTTTTTTATTGTCGCATGTACACCACTGCCGCGTGTCTCCACCTTCATAGCAGAGTCCTGCACTGGGCTGGGTGCTCACGACTACTACGGTAAACTACAGATAACCATCTTGCTCAGTATCTACTCTTTGGGGGGGTTAATAAGATGTTAATTTCTCGCGAGCACTACGGTAAACTACAGATAACTATCTTGCTCAGTATTTACTCTTTTACTCGTAACACAATGTTAATTTGCTAGCGAGAGTGTGGCCTTGAAAGTGACACTGGTTAGTCCGCTCATAGAAAAGACCGCATGAGGAAAAAATTACACGGTTTCATTTTGGACAAATCTGACATTAGAACGCCCTAATTTACTCTTTTTAAAGTCATCTTTAGTCGCACACCGGTCTGAGCCCCACGGCCACCAACAGCAGCTACCGCAGCCTGCTATGTAGGGCGTTCAGGGAGCATCGTAAATTGTAGAGTCTATCGATAAGAAAATGTTCAGCCAGTCATGTTTTCTCTGTGACAAGGTGGGAAGTTCGAACAAATGAGAAAGTTAGTCACACCGGTGGAAAAAAAATAATAAAAAATTAGTCTGGAGTCCTGTGTGGACTTCCGTGTGGCATGAGCGTTGTTTGGTAAACGGTTACGTATGCAGTGCCGTATAGCGTGGCTCTAACTTGGCCCCTGGCCAATGGAAAAGCAACCAGTTCTTTGGAGGTGCCAGATTTGAACCAACTAAGGACTGGAACTAGCACCAGCAAGGAACTAGCACCTGGTGTTTCTTGGTGGATAAGTCAGAGGAGAGTCGTCTTCGAGAATAGGGCAGCGACTTACCGGAGAAAAGGTAGACTTATTAGCTTAAGGTAACTCAGAATAGATTTTACAAGTTAAATAGACTTTCGCAAAACATGGCCCGCTATTGTTACATAACATGTATGTTAAGTTAATTGGGCCCGGGGCCAACTCAGCGTCACTAACATGAGTAAACTAACTGATAGCATTAAGCTAACATCTTCATGCCATGATGGAACGGCTGACTGCATCTTTTATATATATATAAAGATTTTCAGTCAGCTCTTAACGTTTTACCATTTTGAAGTTTGAATGTTTCTGTTCAGGAATGCAAGTAAATAACTATAATCTGACATCTTCATGCATTTTACTAATTTTTCTGTTTTTTGTAGAACAGTAAATTTGAAAATTCATGGATGCCAACAATAATCACATTTTGGCAATTACCAATGCTGTTATTTTGTTAATTTAGGGCAGCTGTGGTATAAACCTGACACTGGGTGCAGGTCTCATACATTTGTTAAGCTCTGTACATGGTATATGTGTACAAAGTATATGTGAACTTTTGTTTATAACTGTATATATAAAACATAATCAACTTTTATATAACCAAACATTGATTTAAAAAATACTTCAAAAAAGGAAAATAACTGCGAATTTAATTTGCGCTCTTTGTAGTAAAGAAATAAAAAAATCTGAAAGAATAAACTATGCTAAACCTAAAAATGAAATTACCATAATTAGTCAAGCAATAAATACATTCATACAATTATTTTATATTAAAATAAATCAAAGGCTCTTTAAAACGATAATGCAGCCAAATTGAAAAGAATGAACAGATTTAACAGCACATTCTACACAGCACTGACCATGGCGGAGTTGGAGGCCTCATCCCCAGCACAGACCAGCATTCCACCTCCGTCTGGACTCTTGAAGACGGCATTCTTGGTGAGCAGTTTGCAGGATGAGCCAGCGCTGAACGTCTGCATGGGAGAGCAGGAGCAGCTGGGCAGCTGGCTAGAGTCCTGCTGAGGGGTTCTGTTCAGAGCCAGCAGGACGCAGCGCAGAGATGGGTTGGAGCGTCCTGTGGCAGAGACCACATTTAGTGAATCAACTGGTCTAACCTTCAAATATATACCCTCCATTTTGGCCTGGTCCAGGTTACTGCAGCTTCACCAAACCAGGACACCTATGCCAAAATTCTATTCAGAGCGAATAGGTCTCTTTTGGCTAGAAGTGACATAAACAAGTGACAAAGACAGGAGACATTGTGTTTGAGGTGTGACCATCTGCATCTAAAAATGATGTACAAAGTTATTTATGCAACCTTTATGCAATCAGTGGTGAAGCCAAATTAGCCAAACACTTATTGATACTAACAAGGTTCCTGCATGTCTCCACTGGGTCTTTGGTCCACTCTCCCTGTGACAAGAGTTTTTCAGCAGACTGCCTGATGCCTTCCTCCACAATTCTAATGTCGTCCTCTTTTCTCATGATGCTGTTTTACTTTGACGAGGTTGTTGGGCCGATCGGCTAAGAAACTGGAGGTCTTGAGGTTGAGTGTTTCTCCTTTCTTTCACTAAACAAAAGCCACATCCCTGTGTCCAACACTATTTTCATCTCATTCGACCACAGAACTGATGAACAAAAGCTTGCTTCTTTGTCCAGGTGAGCTTTGGTGTGTCTGTATAGAAGAGGTGAGTCCTCCTTGGTCTGTGTTCATGTGAGCAGCCTTGTGCAATGTTTGATTGAGATGCTACAACCAGAACTGCTCAGATCTATCAGGATGGTCTTGGTATTGATCCTTGGATTTTTCTTGGCCTCTACCATTTTTGCAAGTGCAGGTGTAACTTTTGGCTTCCTACCACGACCTCTGAGATGTTTACAGTGCAGATCTCCTTGTTGTTTCTGATGATGCACTGTGAACATGCCATTTGAAAACACATTGATTTGACTTGATAGTCTTTTACTGTGAGCAGCCACAATGCACAACTGTAAGTGCTCACTAAGTTGTTTGGTTTTGGCATTGACAACTGAATGGTAACTGAATTACTGCATCAGCTGCTCCCAGTTTATAAGGATGCTCTAGAACATGACAGAAATTACCAGAACCATTTACAATGGTATCCATTTTCTCACAGATCTGTGACAATTTCCAGGGACAGGAATAATGCTGGACATGGCATTTTTAGTAAAGTATTGAAATTAATCAAGAACATCCCCAACACAATGTCTCGCTGTCTTTTGTCACTTGTTTATGTAATTTCTAGCCAGAAGAAACTTATTGGTCAAACAGAAGTTCATTATAAATTAAAATTTGATGTGGGTAAGAATCGTTTTGGGCTGAACTGCACAACACAGTCTCACAGCTATTTCATAGTCATGCTGTCACAAGTATGAAAAATTTGAGTGACTAAGTGCCTCAAAATACAGATATTGCTATCATGTGATTGTCAATACTTCTAGCAGTATGTAACCACAGTTTCAAAAATGGCATTAGTCCATCACAAAAGGTTTAGCGTCGAAGTCACTGACTATTGCTAGAGCACCCCATCTCAGGTCAAAACAAAGCAGTAGGTTGGCCACGCCTCCCCCTCCTTCTTCACTGTCCTTTACAACCAGAAAGGCCATCTACGTGACAGGCAACAAAAACAAAGTAGCCACATCATTAGGTCGAGGGTCTGAGTAAGCAGCATTAGAGTCCTACCAGGCCTGTATGTGACCAGACAGTGTCTGCTCTCCGTCTCCACCTGGATGTCGGTGCAGCCGGAAGCCTCCAGCGGCAGTAGGTGTGGTCTGTAGGTGGTCTCGTTCACCTGCTCCCAGAAATATCCGCCTTCCAGAGAGCCAGCAATTAGCCCGCCACAGGGAAATGAGCTGGACGCCGCGCGGGGGACATAGCACAGAGATGCCACTGGACACCTGGAGAAAAAAAAATAAAAAATCAGTGTTCAACAAGTTAGGAGCTTTCAGCAAAGACAGTGAATGCCCTACTGGGCACTCAGAGGCCACATTCACACAAAACCACTGAAAAACAGAATTTTTCTAAACTGTTCTTTGAAGTGGATCGGTCAGAAATTACCAGCCGTATGTTTCAGTGTGTGTACCTGGAGCGTAGTGGCTGGAGTTCCTGGACGTGTGTGCTGGTGTCTCTGGTGTCGTAGATGAGCACTGAGCCGTTGGTCAGGCCAGCGTAGACGTAGTTACTGTTGTCCAAACACCAGCAGCAGCTCCACACTGGTTTACCTGCGTTGTAGGTCTGAACTACTGTGTTGGTCAGCAGACTGCAACACACACATACACACACACACTAATCAAAGATACACAAGAAAACCCTCTGTGAGGGTGGAGGTTTTACTACATGTCTATACCTGGTCAGTTTGATGGTGTTGTCCAGGGCAGCAGACAGCAGCAGGCTGTCGTTCTGTCTGTTGAAGGACAGGCCTCTGATCTGTTTACTGTGTATTGGAACATACTGACTGGCCTTCATGTTCACTACACTCACCTTCTTCACCCCACAACCTGAATAAAGAAAAGAAACAAAGAACTGATTGGTAAAACACAGAGGTGGCAACTGTTTCAATGCAAGCTTCATTCACAAAATAAGAGATTACTTGGAGACACTATAAATGTAATATATTGTTGATAACTAACATGAGAAACAAAAGTAATGTTGGATTCAAATGGTTTGAAAAAGAAAAACAAACAAACACAAAAAAAACAGTCTACACAACACGAGAGCATGAGTGACTAAGTGAAGGAGGGAGTGGTGATCAGAGAAGACAGTGAAGGGGAGAACTCCCTTAACAAACCTTAAAGAAAACCCAACTGCTAACACTACACTAAATGTTGTGTGAAATGGCAGAAAATCTGGCAAACTAATGGGAAGGTACACAGCAGGAAAGTCTGGGGTGTTTTGGATTGCCTGGACAAACTCAGTGGCTCACAGGCAAACAGCTCTACCGCTCAGGTTAACACGACCAGCGGACTGAAGTCAGGGTAACACAGATTCTGGATTCCTGTTCTTCCTGGGTTTTTAAATGTGAAAATGTGGTGGAGATGCAGACAGAGACATACACAGAAGAACGTTTGGTCTAATTCTTCTGGTCTTCAGGGTGGAGGAACTAAATAAAGATAAAAAATAATTAAAAAAAAAAAAAACTTAAAAAAGAAAACCTCATTTTCTTGTTGGAAGTGCATGTTCCTGCGTTCCTTAAAAAACGCTGCAGCGTTCCCAGAAGTGCACCTCTGGTGACTGAAGTGTTCTCACTGTGTTCAAGTCACATTGCTAACCAGTAACTATGAGCAGATGCATGGAGACAAACAACAATGGTTTGTCTTACTTGGTAATAAATAAATAAATAAAAATTCTGTTATAGCAACAAGCTGCTGCACCACTAGCAGCCACATCAGAATAAACTGCAGTACAAACACCAATTCAATATTTCAGTTCATTTTATAGAAGTTGTACCCTGCGAGTATTTATGTAAAAATATTTAATATAACAGAAGAAGCTAATCTAGGGTAGCATTAGGGTTAACCAGGGTTAACGTGTGTGAACCCAATCCAGAAAATTAGATGCCTTTCTCATTTTTCATTGTATGTGCTGCATATGAGTAAAGATTTTGGCCTAAAGGTGGCACTGGAAGAAAGCTCATGAAGTGTCTAAGACAAAAAGGTTTCATCTTTTGGGGACCATGAATGTGCTCTGTTGTGTTTAGATGTGCTCTGAACCAGAGGGGTGGACAGACCGATGAATTGGCTGCTAATGGATCAAAAGAAAGAAGTGAAAAAGTGAGGGCATCTCACCAGGCACCAGTGTGGAGTGAGGGGAAGGCTGGGAGGCCAACAGGCAGCTCAGAGGTTCACAGTAGGATAAAACCCTGCAGCCTCCAGCCTGAGACACCATCACTGCCTTGGAGAAGCTGTACTGAAGTGTCTTGGAGCCATCCACCCTCTGAGACAGACTGAAGAGGAGTGAGGCTGACGAGGAGGAGGAAGAAGAGGAAGAGGAGGAGGGAACTGAGCTCCGGCCAGTCTGGGCCATCAGGGCTCTGAGCTCCTGCGCAACCAGGGAGAGACAAAGATGTCAAGACACTCACTTCCTCACATCATGGAAACAACAGCACATGGAGTGGACCTCCTAAAGCTTCAACGTCTAAAATGTGCCACTTTTTCAAATTTTCATTATAATCAGGTATGAGATGCATTCAAAGGGAACTCAGTACCTTGAAGAACTCCTTTTAAAATCAAAGACTAAAAGTAGAACAATTCAATATAAATGATTAAATCGCAAATAATTTGTAATCCAACAACGTTTTGCAAAGTAGTTTCATGAACACTGTGATTTACACGTTAACAACCCAAATGATGCCATAAAGTGTAATATGCTTTTTTTTTTTTTTACAGCAATAATCTAAGATAATAAACGGTTTGCAAAAAATAAATAAATGAATTTTAAAAAATAATAACAATAATAGCAATACTTTTGAACTTTGCAAGTCAATTTTGTAACACAGTACCAGTCAAACACTTTGAACACACCAACTGCTTCAAGTTGTTTTTCGAAGAACAATTTGGCACACATGTCAAATTTAAAGCAACCAGGGTGCACCTGACCCTCACGTCCTAAAATAATGGACGGTCCCTAATGTGGGTTACTACAGTAGCTAGAGGGATTTTCCTGTACACCCACTCTACCCGGCACAACACAGGTGATGGTCTCATTAAAAAGGAAGAAATTCCACCCATTTGTCCACCGTTAACAAGAGTTACCTGTGAACTAAGAGACAAGCTCATCATGCTGCCAATAGCACGCAAATCTGTCATCACAGCACCAAGTGGCAACTTTGAGAAGTCTAAAGTATTAAACTGATTTTGTTTACAGTCTTCTTTTCTTCACTGCATAATTTCAAATCATTTCATAGTTTTCACATCTTAAGTTTTGTTCTACACTATAGAAAGCTGTCAAAGTGGATGAGTAGGTGTGTCCAGACTTTTGACTGGCACTGTGTACTTAACATTACATATGATTCCACAAATTGGCACATTTCAGTCTTCATAGAAAATTAATTAGGCAAGGAAGCTAACATTAACACACATTTTACCATTGGTGATGTGCAAAATCCCAAACTGGCCAAATAACATTGCACTTAAGTTCAATGTACAAAAATAATATTTACAATTATTTTTTTATTTTGTTCCTCAGATTTTATCTAACTTAAACAAAAAATAAGAAAACCCATTGACAAGTTTTGTCAAAGTTTCAGGACATGAGTAAACAGCCAGCACTGGTACCTGCAGCTCTTGCTGTGCTTGTCCATATTTGTTGGTGACAACCTGCAGTTTGAGTTTGTACTGAGCTGATTCCAGCTCAGCCTTCCTCCTCAGAGACTGCTCCTGCTCCAGAGATCTACAAGTATACACACATTAAATGCTTTAGTTTCATGAATTTAAATACTAATTTGACAAGCAACTGACCCCCAGTAACAAAGGTCAGATTTTGTTTGTTTCTTAGATCAGTGACGAAAATATTCTAGGAACAATACTGTACATTTTAAACTACCAGGATTAAACTGAAGACACCGCATGTATTTAACAATTCTATTCACATTCTGCTCATACACCTATGCACTTATCAGTTGCACCAGTGGGGGGTGACAACAGGTGAGTCAAGACTAGTCACTGCTGCAAAGGACTCCTCGTGCAACAGAACCATCAATGGTAGTTGGTATTGGCAAAGCCACTGGTAAATGGTAGTTTGTTATGGTGTCATTTTTGTGTCTCATTCCTGAGCAATAAATGGGAAGTTCTGAGCACAAAAACCTGTTTTTTGCAAGAAGTCAAAATTATATTTTGTGTAAAAGTTATAATCAAGCGAAAAACAAAGCAGTTTAAGCAAACAATGATCAATAACGGGCTCAGTTATTCTTGACATGAGTGTGCATTAACAACATTTTTTCCTCAGTTTTCCTCCCTCATGGTGCTTTTCCTCAGAGAGCTGCGAGACCGCTCACCGCTTGCTCAACATGACACACAAAGTCAACCAATCAGGAGTAAGACAGGGCAACTTCTGATTTGCTGTTTCCTATCCAATCATAACTAGGAGCAGCGTCATTGAAAGAGAAATTCACTTATTATTCACTTAATAAAAAACACTGTTGTAATTGGCTACACATGTCGATGTGCTACACAAATATCCAAAATCAATTCATTTACTAACTACTAGCTCCCAAAAACTGCTGATTTGTCTCTCCGTATTTACGGATTCAAATTCCCCGCTGAGTACTTCTGGGAACTATCTGAAGTCTCCGTGTATCACGTGACTATCAAGCATTGTGGACCTCTCCTGTCGTAACTCTCCCTTCAACTTCACAGCCAATCACAAGTTGCCCTGTCTGACTTCTGATTGGTTAACTTTGTGGCACATTGTACGAAAACCATAGTTTGTCACTCCAAAAGGGTTACAGCATCCCACTGAGTCTAATGGATTTCAAACAACACAAAACTTAAATGTTTGGATAAGTGACATTTATTTGTTCCTATAAAGGAAAAAAGTGCCCGTTTGTGACCAACTGCCTTCCAGTATTCTTGGTATCAGTGCTCCCTTAAGATTCCTACAGGTTTGGTGTGTTGAAGAAGAAAAAGCATCACTCACTTCTTTAAGCTCTCCTGCTCAGAGTTGTCCAGCGCTCTCAACTTTGGAGCGTACAGAAGCACAATGTCTGAACGCTTTGCTTTCTTGTTGCACTAAAGACACAGAAAATACAGAAACAGTTAAATCATCCTCATTCAATCATATTCCAGACTCAGATGTCTACATTTTTCAGACCATATTTGATATTCAAGCACAAATAGTTTGATGTTTTGTCTATATGGTAAATTCCTACTGTACATGCAGCCAATGGTGCAGCCAGCTGGGATTTAGACTGGGTCTTGCTGCCCAGGGCATTACCACCCACGTAGCGTGTACGCTAACCACTCCGCTTTGTAAAGCAAAGCAAAAAGAGACAGTCACTTTATTTTCCTGATACCTACATCACTGCATAACTCAGAAATGTTCAGCCACACCTACTACTTGCTTATTTGCGATGCTGTAAGCAATACAGAGATATTGTTGCATTTTCATTTTAAACTAGCTTGGTCTGGATGCCCAGCACAGTAATGAGGCACTGGGCGGAGCTGTGATGTACAGGTGTTAAGGCATCTCTGTGTGAGTGAGTGTTCGCTCACACACCACAGTTGCCTTACGTTCGACAACATGAAGCTCTTTCTGGCCCAAGCTCTCTCACACAGTGGTAAACATCTAGCTCGGCTGACTGGCTGCCGAGAAATTTTGAATTTAGAAAGGTAAAAAAGAGGCAATGGTCTGGTAACACGATGTTTATTCATACTTTTTTCTGTTATCTATACTTATACAGATCTGGAAATGACCAAAATCTAATTCCATACTTTCGTACACTGCTTAAGGAACCATGGGAGAAGATTTCTGATAAGATACAGTGTCTTCACAGACCTGTGGGCATTTAGCAGCCTGGCCCTGAGCTTTCAGCCAGCGCTGGATACAGGTGAAGCCAAAGAGGTGTCCACAGCGCAGAGCAGACAATCTGTGTTCCCCCGCTGTAGTCCACGCCTCGAAGCAGATGGTGCAGGTGTCGCCGTCGCTCTCGTCAATGTGGGCCGACTGGACTGAAGCCAGGGCTGCTGGGGCCGACTAGGAACGAGATGGTAACACAATGGATTCTATGTAAAAGAACCTAAAACTCTTACAACTAAGAACCAGCCAAGCAACACTACAGAAATATGTTCACTCATTTACTGGAAACTTTTGAGGGCATCTGTGCAGATACAGCATTTCTAAGTAGATTTATGAAACCTTTAAACTTGTCGTGTATCACGTCTGTGATAGTGGAGGAAATCAGATTTTTTTTTTTTAAATCCAGTTGGCTACAATGCTCTCAGTTTCTCATCAATGTAATATTTAGGAGAGGAAAATAATTATCAAAACAAAATTTTTGAGGTGTTAGGCCCTGGTTGAATTGAAACTGAATTTTCCAGCATGGACATGCTAGAATTATTAATTAGTTTATAACCAACAACAAACTAATAATTGATTAGTAATTAGTAATATTAATTTTATAAAAAGCAACATTTGAGCACATTTGGATTTGATGGCTTCACTTCACTGCAGAACTCACAATTCAACCACTGCTTTTACAAAAAACATTTTACTGTCATTCTGGTCAGCAAATGATAAGTTACTGCAGGTTACTTAACTCATGTAAATAATTAATAAAAGAATTTCTGTTAGTCAAAAAGCACCTGTAAGTGGTTTAATGTGGCGGTAACTGGCCTGTAAAGATAACTGTGGAATGAAAATGTCAAACTTTCCTTATTTCCAAAAACAAAACAATCAAATGTGCGACACTTGATACAAAAACTTCATATCAATCATCCAAAAGAACAACATCTGATGTATAAATAATGTGGAAATGGAAGGCACTGTCAATATTTTAATTCATTAAATATTGAGCAAAATGTTATTGTCTGATTCTAAATTGTCCGTAGGTGTGAATGTGAGTGTGCTTGGTTGTCTGTCTGTAAGTGTAGCCCTGTGATAGACTGGTGACCTGTCCAGGGTGTCCCCTGCCTTCGCCCTAAGTCAGCTGGGATAGACTCCAGCCCCCCCACGACCCTCGTGAGGATTAAGCGGTGTATAGATAATGGATGGATGGATGTTCTTGTCTATGCTAAAATAATCTCCTTACTAAAGGCTGGATTCCCCAGAAATAATAGTTTATAATAATTGTCTTAGTCCACGTAAAATAACAAACAAAAAAACAGCCTTTTTGAATGTAGAATCTAATCTAATTTAAGGGATATGGACATCATTGCTCCGTGACAGACTGGTGACCTGTCCAGGTCAACCTGCCTTCACTCTGAGTCAGCTGGGATAGACTGCAGTCTTCCAACAACTCTACAGAGGCCTGAGCGCTTTACAGATAATGGATGGATGGATGGATTTCATTGAGTATCCTGACTTTGGTACATGAAAACAAACTTGAGTGAATATTACTTATTTAAGCTGTGACTAAAGCTGCACACAGTCTGACCAACATACAAATGTAATCACAGAAAAAAGGATTTGATTGGTGTATCAGTTCAGAATAGTTAAATAAAACAATCATGACTTTTCAGTAAATAGATTTTTTTCCCCACACACCTCCATCATCAGTACTAGCTCTCTGTACAACTAAAAGCAGAGCAGTTGCTATAAAGTTCCTGTTCTGTGCATTAAAAAAAAAAATGGAGCAGGAAAGCAGAGGGATGGAAAAGATCCAAAAGTTACCTGGCCATCGTGACTTTGAGCTTCTGTCCTCTCACCATCTGCAGCTGAACTGGAGCCTGAAAAGAGAAAGATCACTAGACTCTCAGTTCTAATCTACACACCAGCCTAGTCGGAGCTGATACACTCAGGACTGCTTTTCAAAGATCACAGATATATAGAAACTAGTTTGCATCATTTAGCACAGACAACATGAGGGGAATTTTGATCAGACTCACTGGTTGTACTGGCTTCCTGTGGCGGAGAGTGCTGGATGGTGGCATTGAGGTTAGGACCAGCAGGGGGGGCAAGGCTGATGGGCTCCACACCAGCAGCTGTCCCGTCTTCATCCCCATCTGCCTCATCCTCAGACTCACTGCCCTCCGTGGTGCTCCCAGACTCTGGCTCTGCCACACTGGCGGCCGGCGCACGGAGCAGAAAGTCTGGGAAGCCTCTCGAGGGTGCTGCCGTCTGACTGGGGTAGTGCACCCTGAGGCCCTGTCTGCAGCACAGACAGCTTTAACAGCTCAAGAGAACACAGATGTTTCTGACAAAATACAGTTACTAGGTGCTGAGTGTGTGAAAAGTCCAAACTGGGCCAAATTTAAACAGGGCAAAGTTAGTTGCTGCCATTTAAAATGCTGTAACGCTTTTGTAGACATGCATAAAAGTAGAGCACATAATTCAGAAACTAAAAATTCTCTGCACAGTTCTGGGTACCTGAGCCTCCTCCGCATGGGCGCCCCCTGAGCTGCTGAAGGTGTAGCTGCAGCCCTGCCCACCGCCCGCTGACTAAACGCCCAGGTGGCAGGAAGCCTGGGAGGAACTCGAGCTGCTGCCCGCCCCCCTTCAGTCTCATCATCATCATCTTCTTCCTCCTCCACTTCAGTGCTGCTGCCGGAGTCTGAGATGACCTGTGGTGCATTGGCGTCCTCAGCCTGGTCTACAGCTACAGCTGCAACCTCTTGCTGTCCGATGCCTCCTTCCTGCAGCTCCCCAGGGGAGTCTACCTCCATGGCCTCCATCTGCAAAATGTTTTACAGTGTTGACTGGCTGTCTGTATGACAAGATATTGAAGTAATGCATTGTACCACTTTTGGTTGTGGGATTATTTGAAATCCTTGTTTGCACTATTAGCAACAACTTGTAAACGGTGTTAAGAAGGGTGGTATGAAGTGTTTAACGATGGCACATTAACCCTTCTACTCCAGTTGCTATATAATACACCTGCTTAACGTTGTAATTCAGATAATTGTGATGTAATGTCATGTTTGTGTCCTGTGATAAAAACACTGGTATACGCTCCACTGGTTGATCGTACACCACAACCAGAGGAAGCACAGTAAAAGTGTGCTTCAAGGATTCTTCAAGTCGAACTCACTGTCTGATTTAGCAGACACTTTCATTTCTTTGGCTAACGTTGTATTAAAGGACACAAACTGCTGATGTATACCGCTACAGCTGCAAGAGCCTACTGCTGGAGAGACTTAGGGCTCACATTTATCTCTCTACTGGACAAGAAGGATCAAATTATAATTGGAGAGAGGATTACCAAATATCTCACAGCGACCAGGTAGCCACCTGCTCACAGTGCTAGACCTCAGCAGATGGTTTTACAGTGGTGCCAAACTCTGCTCCAACCAGCTGCACGGAGACACTTACATAACGTGCAGGTAGTGCTGAGCAGCCCAGCTACCGCTGATTAGCACCATGACAGCGTTACCAGCTGTGGAAGTCACTACCTGTCGAAGACACTCCCTCATAACCCATTAGTCCGGTCATCTGCTACAGCCAAACGCCTCCGCAGCGCTCAGGACGAGACGGGACACGGCGCTGCGTTCCTCGGCTGAGCAGCGAACTACAGCCCGAGGTCATCGAGGCCTCCGGGCGGTGAACGCCAACAGCCGCCGGAGATCACGGTGAAGGGTCAGGGTTAGGGTTAACTTAACCCTCGCTGGTTTCGTCAGATGGCTTATATGGAAACGTCCCTGAACTACAGAATTCTAATATTTTTGTTGCTTTCCGTTTTACATCCTGGTAACCACGTACGGGTTAAATAGCTAGCATTCGCTGTGAGGACACCAACACCCAGTTAATGAGTTGAATGAGGCTTCAGCCCGGGTCGGTGTGTGAACCTGCTGTCCGATGTCTTCAGAAACTCCGAGGAGAACCAGAACCAGAGCTAACAGGCTAGCGTGTAGCTGGAGCCGTTAGCTAGCAGCACAACCTACCGTGAACTCTCAGCTGGTCCCGCTCCGACAGGCCGCGCAGGGAAACGACATGGCACCACAAAGCAAACGAATCCAGCTGCTCTAGCTGTGGAGGCCGTCCACACTGTAGTTAGTTCGGTCTGGACCTGATGGTCTGGACCCGATGGTCTGAACCGCGCTCACGGCTCGAATCTCCCGGCGCCAGCCCGCTTTGCCCGCCCCATCCTGCGGCGCTTGTGGAATCTGCGTTCTTGTTCTTTGGTGGCGATGGGACGCATCAGCGCCGCCTGGTGGCCTGGAGGGTCGGAACCCGTCTGGATGGTTGACCGCCTCCGTATGTCACATTAGTCCGACCGGTATGACTTCACAGCATAGACTGTATAAAAGATGGACGTAGCAACCGGCCCTGAAAAATGAAGCCAACCCGGAAGTGTCAAAAACCTACGTCCGCTTGCTGCTGGCTCCAAAAAGCCCTGGCTCCCATAGACTTGAAATGGAAAAGAAGTGATCACAGATCAAGAAATACTGCATTCCTACAGCTCAGGATTTTTTTTCTTATTAGTTTTCATAACCAAATTCAGAGATCAGGTGGCCAATTTGAAAATAAATCAATACTGAATTTTTAAAAAATCGTCAACGTTTTGCGGGGCAAGGGGCGTGGCTGGCTTGATTGACAGTCGGCAGCGACGATACAGACGAAGCGAGCAGAAAGCGGTAAATGTGGGCGGGCAGAGAGGGCCTGTCTCTCAATCCGTCTGACCAATCGCTGCTCCTATGGCTCCGCCCCCCCTGACGATATTTGCGTCACTGGCTCCAAAAATCCAAGATGTCAACCAGGAAGCAGCATTTTATTTTTGTACTGAAAGGACTGCACCTTACGTTTCGTTGTACTTGTTACAATGACAATAAAACAAATCTGAATCTGAAAGTTTGTTAATACCAATGCCATTATCGATTCCCCTTATTGATCTGATTCTTTGTCAATTATGGTATCGATTTATGGTCAGTAGGCTATTCTATGTGGGGAAACTTAGCTGTTCTATTATTGTCACTGTTAATCTTTTGGCTTGCTATATACTTGCTATTTTCTTCCATTTTGTCTCATCAGTGAGAAACAGCTCTGGAGTCCGAGGACTTTTTCTAAAATAAAACTTTGAAACTTTTGCGTTTTAAGGTACACGTTTTGAAGATGGGTGTATGGTCATTTATTTTACTAGTCTTGAGAATTGTATACTTAATTCAAAAATATTGTAGCCTACTTGGTTCTAAATAAATACATTTTATTTGTGTCAAAGGGCCAGTGATCTTTTGTGTTAACCCATAAGAAATAATCACCTTTGACTGATATTTATGGCATGTGATGTAGTAGGCCAAGCTGTGACACTGTGGCTCTAGGTGTAAACAACCTATTTTAATTGAAATAACTGGTACTAATTGTTATTATTAATATATATTCATTTTAGTTCGAAATAAACTTGTGTACATTTGTCAAAAAAAGTCTGCATGCACCAGATTTAGCAGAAAGCTAATTTTCATTTGCAGTCCTACTAATTTACACTCCTTTCTGTTTTTTTTTTGTTTGCTTGTTTGTTTGTTTGTTTGTTTGTTTGTTTGTTTGTTTTTAAAAAATCAATTTATTGTATCAAGCACATTGTTTGCATTGGAAGGCATTTAGTGGTGTGAATCAACCGTTAAAGTTGGTAAAATTGCTCCCCTTTATTGCATTATTGCTTTATTTCCCTTCTGTTTACATTTGACATGACGTGGAACCCCACAGCCACGTTGGGCGTGGTTTGTAGCGACTGTGCCTTGGCTCCGGCTGCAGTCAGACCCTTCTCAAAATGAAGCCAGGGTCTTGCTGCTTCCTGGTTGACATCTTGGATTTTTGGAGCCAGTGACGCTCTAGCGAGCGACGTAATTAATAGCTGGAGTAGTGTCCGAAATGATACTTTGCCGAGGTGCTCACTATATGGTGCACGACATAGTGCACTATATAGTGATCACTATATAGGGAGTAGGGGGTGAGTGGGTGATTTCGGACACAGCTACTTCCTGGTTGACATCTTGGATTTTTGGAGCCAGTGACGCAAAAATCGTCAGAGGGGGGCGGAGCCATAGGAGCAGCGATTGGTCAGACGGATTGAGAGGCAGGCCCTCTCTGCCCGCCCACATTTACCGCCTTCTGCTNAATAATAATATATTAATTTTAGTTCAAAATAAGCTTGTGTACATTAGTCAATACATCAATTTATTTTATCAAGCACATTGTTTGGATTGGAAGGCATTTAATGGTGTGAATCAACTGTTAAAGTTGTTAAAATTGCTCCCATTATTGCATTATTGCTTTATTTCCCTTCTGTTTACATTTGACATGCTGTGGAACCCCAAAGCCACGTTGGGTCATGTGGGCGTGGTTTGTAGGGGCGTGGTTTGTAGCGGCTGTGCCTTGGCTCGGCTGCAGTCAGACCCTTCTCAAAATGAAGCCAGGGTTTTGCTGCTTCCTGGTTGACATCTTGGATTTTTGGAGCCAGTGACGCAAAAATCGTCAGAGGGGGGGCGGAGCCATAGGAGCAGCGATTGGTCAGACGGACTGAGGCGGGCCCTCTCTGCCCGCCCACATTTACCGCCTTCTGCTCGCTTCATCTGTATGGTCGCTGCTGTCAATCAAGCCAGCCACGCCCCTTGCCCCGCAAAATTTTGACCATGAAAACCAATTTTTTAAAAAATCCTGAGCTGGAGGAATGCAGTATTTCTTGATCTGTGATCACTTCTTTTCCAATTCATTTATATGGGAGCCAGGGCTTTTTGGAGCCACGACTAGCGGACGTAGTGATATTGCAGGTTTTTGACACTTTCGGGTTGGCTTCATTTTTCAAGGCCGGTTGCTACGTCCATCTTTTATACAGTCTATGGCTGTACACTACTATACGGTGCATTGTGGGATATTTTGAGTGCACTATATAGGGTGTAACATTTGTAACTTAACATTCGGACACCCCTACAAAATGGCGTGCACCCTATACAGTGCACTATATAGGGCATAGGGAGTGATTTCAAACACAGCCCCGGCTTCATTTTCTCATTTTCTCAGTGCAGAAACCAATGGGTGATGTCACGGTAGCTATGTCCATCTTTTGTAGTCTATGCTTCACAGTAGCTGCAGTAGTTCTAAGCTGAACAGTGTACATCTGCTCTCATGTCCATTTAAAAACATTTTACTAGATTATAATAGAGGCCCCACTGTAGGAACTCTGATGCAACTAAAGTCAGTAGACAGTACCACAATTCACATCCTTTTTTTCCCCCTGAAATATATACAAACCTGAATGTGCACAGAGCATGCTGGAATAGTGTTTGTAGATCAGCCAGAGCCACTTCATTTTTTTCCCATTTACAGAGCTGTGTACACCCACAGCATACACACAGAGAAGGAACAGCTGGTGGACTGTTAGAGATTCACAGAGTTTGACTGAAAGTGTATTGGAAAAGAATCACTGACTCAGTCTTAAATGAGTGGCCTTCCTTCCAAAGACTGTGGTGTCCAAAAGCTGTCACTGCTTCCTTGTAGGTCTGTGCTTTCCTCATGCCTGATTCAAGCCCAACGCTCTGCATCCTAACCACTTTGGAACTGACCTTGGGAGGGAGACAACAGAGTTTACTCTTAATAAGTTTCCTCCCTGTGACCATTCAGTCCATGATTTTACATCATGGGAAATCAAAGTAATAGTTCTGCAGCTTTAAGGACCTGAGGGGTCTTTTTTCTCTGAACTGTGAACTTTATAGTGTGTGTGCCTGAAGTGCAGCCTTTTCCAAGGTCCCACTATTCAATACTGGTACCTCATAATTCCTTTTTATTGACTGACTGACATGACTGATCTGACTGTACATATCATTGTTTATATAGTACATTCTACAATCTCCAGACATGTGGTTGCAGATAAATCAGTTTTTTTTGTCAATGTCTTGAGACTACATATGATCAAAACTGAGGATAATATTATACATTTTACAAGATGTGTGACATATAGTAGACACATTTCAAGGATAATTAAAACCATTAACATGCACCTTACCACAATTTGGAGCCACAGCAAACTTTTCAAATACTTGATTTTTAATAACTTAGTTTCTCTTGAACAAACAGAAACCTTCAAATCAAGCAGTGACTATTGTTATTTGCTGTCAGATTGTACACATCATAAGGAGACATGCCATATTGACCCGTACCTGCAATCTGAAACAAATCCTCTGTCAAACTAGCCTGTGTGCTAACAGAATAATGTAGACATGCAAATGAAAAAACTGAAAAGCGGAAATTGCAGTATAGTAAAGGAAGGAAAAGCAATGGATGAAAGTACAAGTAGTCAGTATAATTTCTATTTTAACATCTGAACATCACAGCTCATGTTGCATCAATCACTACTTTTTTTCACTGAGATTATCAGTCGTGAACATAGAGTAGTGTAAACCAAAATACAGACATCAGGAGATTGGCATTTTCACTTTGAAAATACAGTAGTGGCAGCCAGTAACCTCTATGTGGAGGCAGAGCAGTGAAAACCAGTTCAGTGCTGTAAAATAAAGCTGCTCTCCAAGTCACCCATAACACCAGTTCCTTTAGCAGCCTTGTATAGAATCATTTAAACAATTTTATAGCTTAAATAAGCTATAAAGCTGTTTGAGACACCCCTGTGGTAAGAAGATCCATACAAAATTATGCCTACCCAAGACACAGTTAAAAAAAACAAAAAAAAAACAAACCTGTGGCTTTTAGTACCATTATTTAAAGTACCATTATTGAACTTTTTTTGTGAATTACATCAGTACCAGTCAAATATTTGGACATCTACGAATTCAATTGTTGTGTTTTCTTTTAACTAAGTTCTACAGAGTAGAAACAGACTAGAAACATTGAAACTATGAAATAAAACATGGCATTATGTAGTAAGAAAAACATGGAAAAATCAAAATATGTTTCAGTATGTTGTTTAGTAGCAGCTCTTTGCAATGATGACAGCGTTGCACACTACAGGACCGTCGCCCAGAATGGGTTCTAACTAACAGGTAAGCCGTGTTATTTATGGACCCCTATAGTGAGGGGATCCAGTGGTTTGTGTCCACTTGTCCCTTTAAAGCACATATGTCAAACTCAAGGCCTGCGGGCCAAATTCGTCCCGCCACATCATTTTATGTAGCCCGCGAGAGATATGTGTTTCTTAATCTGATAGAATAATGGGATTTACATAACATAATATAATGTTATGATTTATGTTATAATAACATAGCAATGTACCCACACATATTTTACTTTTAGGTAAAGGCATGCACAATATTTGTACATAGAATAAATAATAATCAAATGCAGAGACCGTCATTTAATGACAAGTGAAAGAGTCATTACATTTAATACAGTCTTACAGTCACAACCGGGCCTTCGAGGGCAAACATCATGCTGATGTGGCCCGAGATGAACATGAGTTTGACATTGCCTGAGTTTGACTTCAGAGTAAAGGGTCACTGTAAATCAATGTGAAATATTTCTGAGGGATCACCTTTACACTATGATGAAACATTGGTATCCTGGCAGGAATGTTCTCCTCCAGGATGACAGGGCGCCGAACCTCACCAGCAGTCACTCAGTGCTTTGCATTATTCATATGCTGTGACTCTGACAGACAACAGCTCTTAACCCAACTGAACACCTGTGGGAGGTTTGGGACCAACGTGTTACACAGCACTTCCTACAACTTTCATCAAAACGCTCGATGAGGGAATATATTTTGGAGGAACGCTGTTCATTCCTCCAGTAAAGTTCCAGAGACTTGGAGAATCAGTTTCAAGATGCACTGCAGCTGTTGTGGCTGTGCTTGGTGGAACACCACATTACTGAGACACTGTGTTGGTTCTTCCTTTAATTTGCCACACATTTGTTTGGTATTTCCTCAAACTATTTAAATGTCTGCTGAAAAAGCTCTAGGTGATACAACCTTATAAAGCTGGTTGGTAGAATGAAGAATACTCTAAGTTGTTATCAAAGCTAAAGGTGTTTATTTGTTGTTGTTGTTTTTGTTGTTGTTGTGATTTAATAGTTTTGGTGTCTGCAGTCATGCTCTACACACTAAAATAGTAAAACTAATGATAAACCCCTGAAAAAGCAGGCTTGTCCAAACCTTTGACTGGTTCTGTATGTGTTTGCTAAAGTTCCAGTTTACTTCACAGCTGTGTTGCTTTCTTCTCCTCCATCTGTGCCACCACACTGCGCAGTTTGTCCACCAGCACTGTAGAAGAGAAAAATTACCATTGACTTATTATCCAATCGAGTTTTTTCCCCCCCATGTAGACAGCTCTCGGGAATTTAGTTTTTCTTTTCTGTTAGTGGAAAAAAAGTCCACTCTATGTAAATATACAGTACCGACAAACAGAAAGGTAACAAAAGGTTACAGAACAAGTTAATTAAAACTGGTAATTTACCTCCAGCAGATGGCCTCTGGAAGCTATCATAGGCCCGGCAGTCTTCGATCAGCTGCCGCAGTGGCTCAGGACAGTCATCGGGAAGTGGTTCTTGATATCTCTCTTTGCACACTTTTTGATAAATGTCTTTGTCTGAATGCCCTGGAGGAAGTGTGAGAATTCTTTAAGAGCAGAAGTACAAGGCATAAATCCATAGTTAACTTAGCTGTATTTTTAGTTATGGTAGTGCTGTGGCTCTATGGTTGGTTATCTCAACAACTACTGGATGGATTACCATTAAAATTTGGTATACATATTCATGTTCCCTAAACCTACTGCTGGTGATCCTCTGAAGCCAACATTTTTTGTTTCTGTAATTGAATACTTGTGTTTATGACCAAACACAAGTAAAAACAATGGCATTCCCATTAGCTTCTGTAGTGATAGGTCCCTAAATGCCATCGGAACTATCAGGCTGTAATGTGTGGAGGGGGCTGGGGGGAGACAATAAAGGATTGGACCAGGGCACAGTGTGTGCGTGAGTGATTGTCATGTTGACTATACTGAAGGTTTATTGTTGTACCTAAGAACAATAGAACAGCCTCAGCTGTACTTTGTATTTGGGGCTCTTTAACAATTGTTAGCAAGCTTAAAATTAATATTATTTTTCTAGTGAAAATGTCCACCCCAGTATATACCTCAGCCAAAGTCCAACCTTTATCATTGTTAAAACAGCCACTTTCAGGCTATAGCAGTGATTGTGCATATCAGAGGTCAGCACGGTGGTTCAGTGGCTAGCACTGTTGCCCCATACCAGGGTTCAAATCTCTCTTGGAGCCTCTCTGTGTGGAGTTTGTATGTTCTCCCTGTTCCAGCGTGGGTTCTTACCAGGTTCTCCAGCTTCTTCCCACAGTCCAAAAACATGCTGAGGTTAATTGATGATTCTAAATTGGCTGAAGGTGTGAATGTGAGCATGCATGGTCGTTTGTCTCTGTGTAGCTCTGTGATAGACTGGTGACCTGTCCAGGATGTACCCTGACCTTTGCCCTATGCCAGCTGGGATAGAACCACCCCCCTCATTTGGATCTCTGATTTGAGTTGTGTTTGTGCACTGTCTTACAGCTGCAAAGGAGGCTGAATTACATTGTAATGACTGTGCTGAGCTGCTCAAACTCCAGGCATGTCTGAAGGACATAAAGGCCTGGATGACCTGTAACTTCTTTCATTTAAATTTAGACAAAACTGAGGTTATTGTATTTGGCCCTAAACACCTCAGAAACGCAATATCGAACTAGATAGTTCTCTAGATGGCATTGCCTTGGCCTCCAGTTCTACTGTAAAGAACTTTGGAGTTATTTTTGACCAGAACATGTCGTTCAATAGACACATAAAACAAGTTTGTAGGACAGCCTTCTTTCATCTACGTAATATTGCAAAAATCAGGAACATCCTGTCTCAGAGTGATGCTGAGAAACTTGTCCATGCATTTATAACTTGTAGATTGGACTATTGTAATTCCTTATCATCAGGATGTCCCAATAACTCAATTAAAACCTTCACCTGATCCAAAATGCTGCAGCCAGAGTTCTGACAGGAACCAGTAACAGAGATCATATTTCTCCTGTATTAGCTTCTCTTCATTGGTTCCCTGTGAAACCCAGGATAGAATTTAAAATCCTGCGTTTAGCATATAAAACTCTCAAAGACCAGCTCCATCTTATCTTACCTTACCATGAGCCATGTGATGACGTGTTGTAAACTGTGCTATATAAATAAAATTGACTTAACTTGACTTGAGTGCACTCACCTTAATGTGTAAAAGCACTGAAAAAGTTAGTCACAAATTGTAAAGAAGAGAACAGTTATCTAAAGAAATATTTGTTTTCAGCAGCAGTAGAAAACGAATCTCGCTGATGAACATTAGTGACTACACATTACTGCTGGAAAAACTGCAACCTTCAGAGTACTCTGCAGATACACACCTTCAAAAGGTATCCTACGGGTCGCAATTTCCCACAGGACGATTCCAAAGCTGAAAGACAAAAAGTCCGAAAGGAATGCTTTCTTTTTTTTTAAATTAGATAATAATTCAATCTTCCTGTCTGTTGGTTCTAGTAGGTTCTATTTACAGAACTGGTCACAAACAGGAAGTCAGCCTTTGAATAGTCTGAGTCACGAGATGCTGGTTGTGAGACATTCATTGTAAAATCCTGTACTGCAGATTTTCAGCAGCTGTACAGGGCAACACTTGGTTGCTGCTCACCTGTACATCTCACACTTTTTGCTGTAGACATTGTTGATGCTGTTGAGCATCTGGGGGGAGGAGTAGCACAGGGACCTGATCTCCTCGTCCTTCGTCTGCTTTTTCAGTGATGTCTCTGTTTTTGACAGCTCAAAGCCTCCCAGCTGAGAACAACAACCACAGTGTTAATGGAGCTGTTGTGTGAGCTGGACGTGATCCAGCATGCCATGCATGGACCCGAGTACCTTGACTCTGTATCCTTCAGCCACTAGGAACTTGCAGCTGTTGATGTATCCGTGAACATTACTTTTTTCTTCTGTCTGGTGCAGTCTACGAGACAACGATAACACTCAGTACATCTTATTCTAATCATGAAATAGCAAACTGTAAATTTAATATAAAGTTATATCTGATTTATGTATTATTTGTGCATGAGTGTAATGAAGTCCCTTGATTTAAAGATTGATACGCTAAAAAAAAATAAAAAAATCAAATTTTCCGGATATATACTGACGTTACAATATAAAGTTGCATATTTGTCTATATTGTCCACTTCTATTTGATATAACATTTGTTCTGGTGCTGCTTAATGTCATGGGCAAATTTACATTTGACTTTTTTTTTTAACTTTGTCTGCGCTGATCAGTTTGTTTTTTCAAATTCCTCACACATCATTCGAAGGAGACAAACAACAAGTCATTGCAAACTGACCGATAGAGTCCTTGTGCTGCATCCAGACACATACGAGCTTTCCTGGTCCAAGACAGTTTGCAATCAGATTTTGCAAGAAGCTGCCGAAGACTTCCTTTCTCACAGTATTCCATGATGATGAGGAACTCAGGTTCGGGACCTATGGACAGTCACATAACAATACTATAATTTGAAGAGTATCAGGCACTATATGATTGAAATGCCACAGTCTACTCACTGCTTTCATCCTGGATACAGATACCAAACATTCGCAGGATGTAGGGTGACTCGAACCGCTTCATGGTGTCAACTTCTTTCTTGAAAACAGACCTCACCTCCCTACAGACGGAGAAAAAGTTTGAGGTGACAGTGAATGTACATGCTAGTATGTAACAACATACTCAAGCATGAGCTCAGATTTATTTCAGTGACCGTTTTCAATTCAAGCCAACATCACTGTGATTTCTACTGAAAATCTGATTTGAACTATAGTAAACAGAAGTGAGTACAACCCTATGCAATATCACCTAAATGTCAAATGATTTGAAATTACATCAAATCTCAATGATTGCATTATTGTTCCATTGAACAGTACCGGAGTACATCCTCTTAGGAGCAATAAAAAACAAATACCTAAGAAAGATGCCTTTGTGAAAAAAAAGGCCCTATTGGACAAAATCAGCCTCTATCGATGGTGTCCAACAGAAAAAACAACTGCTTGCTCTTTGGTACTAAAATACTAGATGAAACTTTACTAAAGAATATGAAAAGAAGCCTGATGGATATATGAGCACAGTCTTTGGTCAGATGAACCATTTGACATCTAAGCGTTGTTGCACAGGGGCATTCACACATCTGTTGTACACTCTATGTCCACACTGATACTTGTTGTACTACATATCTTGTATTCAGTGTATATCCAAATACTATTACCCCTGTTTCATTTACCCGTAGCCTGAAGCTTATGAGTACATCTGTGTGATCTAAACAGCCTTTATTCATACTATGTGATGCAATGAAAATGACATTCCTCCAGCTGTGTACAGCTTTGGAACAAGCACAGTGATAATCATGGGAATAATTGTAGGGATCTGTTTAACAAAACAGGGGTCCGCATTTTAAAATCCAAACTGTATTTCAGAGGAAAAGGTTAATTGCAGTCAGGCAAATACTGATCAAAATAAAAAAAACAACTGTTTTCCTGTGTTTTGTTTCAGGACAGTGTGTGCTGAGCTGCGAGACACACCCTGGGCTGGTGTTCATCGGGTCCATGTATCTCTTGATCGCCACTGCAAATCCATTATATTCTCCTTTGTAGACCTCTGAGGTGGCTGTGGTCATGAAAGGCTTTTTGGGATGTTCGTACTTCAACTCGTCTGGTTTAATCATCCGGATGTCCACACTGGTGACCCTGGGCCTCTTCACTTTAAAAACACAGTCCCAAATTAGATTCAGCATTATCCCAATATTGGCCATGTGACTTGTTAAAGTGTGTTTTAAAACTGCAATAACAATTTTTTGGCCACTTGCAGGCATCAGGGACAAGTTCTAAAACTAAACTTCTAAACTATGACA